GAGAAGGAAATAAGAGGCAAGCAGATCAGCAAATAGATGTTCAAACTGTCACTGTACACAGATGATATTACAGTGTACACAGAAACCCCAAGGATTCAACCAGAAAAACTGTTAACTCGGTAGACCAATTTAGAAGAGTGGCAGGAAACAGAATCAATATCCAACAATCAGTGGAATTACTCTATAGTAACAACGGAAATGCAAAAAAAGAAATTAAAAAAGCAGTACCATTTACAATAGGCAACCACTAATTGACATACTTGGGAATATGACTAACTAGAGATACAGAAGACACTTATAAAGAAAACAGCAAAATACTATTGTGAGAAACAGTAAGAGATCTAAATAAGTGAAAAATGTACCCTGTTCATGGATAGGAAGACTCAATATAATGAAAATGACTGTTCTATCAAAAGCAATATACATGTTTAACATAATCCCAATACAGATACCAAATTTATTTTTCAAAGAGAAAAGAAAATTGGCAAGTTTATTTAGAAAGGAAAGAGACTCTGTGTCCAAAACTTTTCTGAAAAACAAAAATAAAGTGGGAGACATAGCATTCCCTGATCTCCAAAACTACTACAAAAACAGCATGGTACAGGTACAATGACAGGCATGTATACCAATGGAACGGAATCGAGTATTCAACAAGGAAACAAAATTTGTAAAGAGGAAATAACAACCTCTTCAACACACAATGCTGGGAAAACTCTGCCTGCAGAAAACTGAAGTGAGATCCACATCTCACTCCGTATAGAAAAAATCAACTTAAAGTATATCAGAGACAGGAATAAAGCTCAAATGCATAAAGATCATAAGAGACAAAATGTGATGAAACATAGAAACCTAGCCTATGGTTTCAATTGCTGACAAATGCAGCCAGAAATGTACAACCAGGAGAGGACAGCATGAATGAATGGGACCTTCTAAAGATGAAATTGTGATGTGCATAAAAACTTTTACCAATTGGGTGAAAAGAAACCTGTTGACTGGGAAAAAAAATTGACATTCACATCTGAGACAAGGGTCATGTAATGAAAGTTTATAGAATATTAATGGGCTTCCACAAGATAAAAGACAACCCAATTACAAAATGGGCAAAAGCCATGGAAAGACTTTTCACAGAACAAAACATGCAGATGATTAACAGGCACATGAAGAAATGCTCAAAATCACTGACAGTCATGGAGATGCAAATCACAGTCACAATGAGATACCACCTCACACCAGTAGCAGTGGGAAAGTTTAACTGGACAACAAGCAAAAATTGTTGGAGAGGATGAGGAGAGATTGGAACGGTCAAATATACTGTTGTTGGGATTGTACAATGGTATAACTACTCTGGAGAGTAGTCTGGTGTTTCTTCGAAAAGCTAAACATAGAAATTCTGATGACCCAGTTATTTAACTGCCAGGAATATATAACTGATACACAAATGGAGATTTATACATTGATGTAATACAGTATAATTCACAATAGTGAGAAAATGAAAACAGCCCAAATGTCCATCAACAACCGAATGGATTGAGAAATTGTGGTACATTCACAGAATGGAATACTATGCAGCACTCGGAACTAATGATTTTGGAAAATACTAGGTAACACTGGAGAATCTAGAGAGCATTATGCTGAGTGAACTAACTCAGACTCACAGAGACTATATAAGACCATTATTATAAAGATAGAAGAATGACTAGCAGGATGCGTACAAGGGTCCAAAGAGGGAAGGAAAGGGGAAGGAGAGACTTACGGAAAATCATCACAGAGTTTGATGGGTGAAAGGAAGTGATGAAGTAATCAAGAAAGATCCAGTGGGCACCTGAAAAGACAGAGTAACAGTGGGCATAGATTGATGGGGATTGATTTTATAAAATCATGTATGGGACTGATCGAATGAAACACAATATGAATGAAGCAATATGTTAAATGCAATTTATATGAATGAAACACAATGTTTATAAATTTTGTATGCAAACTAATATAAAATAATTTTTTAAAAAATTAAAAAAGTTTACTGCTGAATGCCAACAAGACTGTTACTTAGTAATTAAAGATACAAAAACAAAACAACAACTCAAACTCATTGGTATCAAGTCAGAACCCTCTCAGTTCATCTTCAAGTGGATTTTTGGAGACTGTAAAGAACATCAGAAGAGATTGCTTAGCTCTCTTGAAGAACCACTGATTGATTCAAGCAGCTAGAGAATTGCCGTCATTGGGCAGGTGGTGTAACTCTACAACTTTCCTGGAAAGTGTCTTATGGATGGCACAGATATAACATTTACAAAACCAGCATCATTTGTGAGCTGTGGTGGTCTAATGGCAAGAAGCTGCACTGCAATCCCAGAGGTATGCAGATTGAATCCACCAGATGCTCTGCTGGAGAAGGAGAGACAATCTCCTCCTGTACCAGTCAGATTTGATTTGATGGTACACACACACACACACACACACACACACACACACAAATAATAAAATTTTTTAAAAAGCATCAATTGTTACATTTCATAGGATAAATTGAATATTGAGTCTTATTATAAATTTTATGTAAGTACATACAATTAATTTTATGACCAAAGTACATCGGAAGACAGAATTCTGGTTCTAGAGAACAGTTGTAGTTGTTGTATATCATAGAATTAGAACCAACTCATAGCTGACTCTCCAGTGGGTTTTCAGAGGGAGTGGATTTCCCATCTTTCTCCTGTAGAGCAGTGGGTGAATTCAAATTACATGTCTTTGTGTTGGCAGCCAAATTTCTTACCACTAAGCTATCAGAGCCAGAATTATATCTCAAAATCCTACTATCTGCATGTACTAGAGCACATTATGGTCCCTCCCCCAGTCTCAGATGTCTTAATATAATGCTGAGCAGATTACTATATGTCTTGGTACATACTAATGGACAAAGAGTCTTGGGATAGTTAAAAAAAATCAACTATGGCGTCCAAAAGCCCTCACCTGGATTGGGCTAATAATGATTATTTGCAGAAGATGAGAGGTAGAGCCTGTTTTATAACTATGTGTTTGTAGAATTGCACAGGTTCTTGGGCTCAGATAGACATCATGATTGCTTTTGTTTTTGTATTGAGACTTGCAAATTGTGAAACAGGTAGTTGAGTGAGGTCCTTGTGAGCTGAATAGTTATATCCTAAGGCAATGCTTTCACAAACTTGACTGTCCATTGAAAAATATGTGTTCAGATCAATGAATTGAAGGTCTTTTGTGTAGGTTGTAACCATGAACATTTCTGTGAAAACATAAATTCCACATACCACTGCTCTGAACATACTGTTTTCCATTTTGAAAACTTCATTAGTTTTTCCATGACTAATAAAAGTGTGAAGGAACTTTAGTGGTGTAGTGCTTTATGTTTTGTGCTGCTACCCTAAATATCTATAGTTCAAAAAATGGGCAACTTCCTACTAGAAAGATATATGGCCTTGGAAACTTGATGATCATTATGAGTAGGAACTAACTCCATGGTACTGGGTTAATAATGCATGATTTTGGAATCCTTAGCCTGGTACTAATAACTGCCCACAATCTGGCTCCACACACCATTTCAATCTCACTTTATAAAAACCTGTTGATGCAGTGGCTAATGTTCTTAACTGCCAATCAAAATGCCAAAGGTTCAAATCCAGCAGCTGCTCTATAAATAAGCCTGTGATAATCTTCTTTTATAAACATGTGTTGTTGTTGCTGTTAGGAGCTCTCAAGGTATAGTTAAATCTGTTCCAACTCATGGTGACACTGTGTCCTTCCTGTTCCATTCTCTAACAGTAAATAGGTTTGAGATATTTGTTGTGGTCACTGGGTCAGTCTATTACAATTCGGGTTCTTTTACATCTTTGTTCCCTACTTTACCAAGCATAGATTCTCCTGGGTTTCGTTCCTTCGAATATAATAATGTGTCCAAAGTAAGCAAGGTGAATTTTTATAATCCTTGTTTCAAAGGAGAATTCTGGCTCTCCTTTCTCCTAGATAAATTCATTTCTGCAGCTATGGAAACCCTGTGGAGCAATTATACTCTGCCCTACAGGGCCACTATGAGATGAAATTGACTCAGTAATAATAGGTTTATGCTTCATTCTGTTATGGAGCTTTGGTGACAGAGTGGTAAAAAGGTGTGATAGAATTTCAAAGGCACATGGTTTGAATCTGCCAGCCAGTTCTCTTAGGGAAAAAGGATGGGCAATCTCCTCTTGTATGGCATATTGTCTTTGAAAATCCTCTGCGGCGTCAGTTATGAGTCAGTTCCAATTTGATGGAACACTGCAAAAACTAATAGGACTGCTTGACATATTGTGAATATGGTCTTTGTTCATGCTCTTCTCTTCCATTGGGACATGTTATTCAAATACAGTCTTTCTTTAAAAAAATGTAAAATTTCTTTCTCCTTTGAATACTCATACCATTTAATTTATTGTATTTTAATTGATACATTTATTCAACTTTGATGGGTATTTGAATACACATCTTACCTTTTCTTTTTTTTTAACTTAAAAAAAACACTATTATTTCGTGTGTGTGTATATCATCAAATCAGATCTGACTGGAACAGGAGGAGATTTTCCCTCCTTCTGCAGCAGAGCATCTGGTGGATTCAAACCATGAACCTCTGGGATTATAGTGCAGCTTCTTGCCACTAGGCCAGAGCTCGCCCTACATCTTACCTTTTTTGTGTGTGTTATTTCAAGAGTAAGAAACATGTCCAATGAATTTTTATATTTTCTACAATGCCAAGCCTGGTAGTAGGGGCTCAATAGCTATTTAAATTAATACTTCAGTGCATGAGTAATAAGCCTTAATTTACTTATTGACTTAATTATACATTTTGAGTAACATGTAAGAGACTATAGTTCTCTTTTTGCTAACAAAATCTACACATTGTTTAAGAATAAAGAAGAGTCACTCGCCCTACCTGAGGAAAGGTCACAGCATAGAGGTACCATTGCTGTTTCTACCATCGAGTCCAAGTGCTGGGTGCCGCCATGGCCTGCTGCCGGCAAGAAGTAAAGGGTAGAATCATATTTGTGACCAAAGAGGACCATGAAACTCCAAGCAATACGGAGCTGGTGGCTGATCACCCCAATGAGCCAAATAAGGAGCATGGATTGATACTGCTAAATGGAGACATTAACTGGAGCTGCCCATGCCTTGGAGGAATAGCCAGTGGCCCCTGTGGGGAGCAGTCAAAGTCAGCCTTCTCCTGCTTCCATTATAGCACAGAGGATGTCAAGGGGTCAGACTATGTAGGCCAGTTCTGGGCCGTGCAGGAATGCATGCAAAAATATCCAGACCTCCATCCCCAGGAGGAAGAGGATGATGACAATGACGAAAAGAAGCCAGAAGGTTTAGAGGAAACAGCTCCAACTGAGACTACTGCAGCTAAAACAGAGGAGAGCTCAAGCTAATGAACTCCACAGACCCTGTGCTCCAGTCCTTCCATTTCAGATCGATAAGAACCTATTTCAAAACACCTTTAAGTCATTTTCAGACACAGTGTCTTTTCTTCTTTTGTTCTGTTCACTGCAGTGTACAAAATAACTTATTTTCAGGATTAATGGTCTGGGCCCTTTTACAGATACACTGAAGAAAAAACGAAACACTGAAATGGGTGGTTGTATATGTGTCTCCCATGTGAAAGTAGCTGCCACTTTTGAATTCTCATTTCTCAGATTGCCCTGAATTTACCAGTTTGAAAGAATGTTCTGAATATTCTAAAAACCCAAAACTTCATTATCCAGGAAAAAAACAAATAAAGAAATTGAGTTAAGTACATGATTAAGGCTGAAACTGACCCTTCAAATAAGTCCATTAAATCAGTATTTTCTCCAGCAATCGGGGTATGAGATTTGGATCTATAGCCCAAATGAAGTTAAGTAAGAAATATATAGCTTGATTACATTAATTCATACCTTAATTTTAAAAATATATTAATACTTGAAGTAGAAGAATACCTAAAATGAAGCCCTGGTGGCATCATAGTTAAATGTTCAGCTACTAGCTGAAAGTTAGTAGTTCAAATTCTTTAGTTGCTCTTTGGTTGAAAGACAATCAGTTTTTGTAAAGATCATAGTTTTGGAAACTGTGTAGGGCAGTTTTCCTCTGTACTAGAGGATTACTATGAGTCAAATACATTTGAAGATGAGGTTTTAAAAGACCCTAAGTCCTACACACAGTTAACATGATCAGTTGGCTAATCGAAACCTGGCTGTTCCAGTCCACTCAAAAGTGCCTGGAAAGAAAGGCGTGTCAATCTACTAGCAAACCACCAAAATCCTTATGGAATACAGCTCTACTCTGACACAATAAGAGAAATGAAGTTATTTGCCTTTCTTATAAAATGTCAAAGACATCTAAATTTCTATGCCCTTCTTTTCAGTGAAAGAGCCACGATGGTATAATATCTAATGTATCAGATTACTAACCAAAAGGTCTTCATTTCTTATCCAGCACCTTCTTCAAGGGGGAAACATGATGAGCAACATCCTTTTGTCAAGATTTATGGCTTCCCGAAACCACTGAGGGGTCATGTTGGTGAATAATGCTCAGCCTTTAGGATTATCAACTACATAGAGGTGTAGGTAGCTTCAGAAGGGAAAAACGTTGTCTTTAGTCTAGAGTGCTTTAATGTATTTTTAACAAGTTAATCCATGTCTATATTCTATCCCCTTCTAATCTATAATCAAAATATACCAGTTATTTGTTACTTTGTGGTTTTTCAACTATACAAAGGCATTTGAATGTGTCATGTCTAACAAATATGGCTAACATTGAGAACAATGGGAATCCCTGAACATTTAATTGTGCTTATATAAAACTATATTTAAACCCAGAAGCTGTCATTCAAACAGAGTAAGGGAACATTTTATGGTTTAAAATCAAGAAAAGCCTTCATCAAGGCTCTGTCTTTTCTGCACGCCTATTCAATGTGCACACCAAGCAAATAATTCTGAAAGTTGGACAATGACTAAAGATGACAAAAAAGGAATCAATGCCCTTGAATTGTGGTGTTAGAAGAGTAGTGGATATCCCATGGACTGTCAAAAGAACAAACAAATAAGTCTTAGAGAAAGTGCATCCAGTGTGTACTCTTTGAAGGCACATGTTCCACATGTTCTTATAGAAAGAAATCATGTGTGGAAAGTTAAAGGGTCAGTGAAAGAGAGGAAGACCCTTAACAAGATGGATTGACACAGTGACTGTATCAATGGGTTTAAATAAATTAGAAATGATGGGGATGGCACAGGACAGCACAGGATTCAGATCCATTGTTCACAGGGTCATTATTAGTTGTGATCGACTCAACAGTACTTAATAACAACCACAATCTACAAATTTGAAGCCCTTGTGGTATAGTGCATTTCATGATGGGTTGCTAACTTAAAGATCATTGGTTCAGTCATTCCACCAGTCATTTAGAGGGAGGAAAATGGGCAGACTCTCTGTCAAGATTTATATCCTTGGAAATCAATGGAGGCTTGCTGTGAGTCAAAATCAACTCAATAGTCATGGCTTTTTGGTTTAGTTTAATTGCCAGTATAAGGAACTTTGGTGGCACAGTGGCTCAAACATTGGATTGCTAAAACAAACATCAGCAGTTGAATTCACCAGCTTCTTTGTGGGAGATGATGAGACAGTTTAATTCTATAAAGATTAAATCTTTTGAAACCCTAGTAGTAGTTAGGCTTTATCCCATAAAGTCATTGTGAGTGGAAATAGACTTGATGGTAGTGAGTAATCCATGGAATGATCTTATTGAAGTGTTAATAGGATCTCACCAAAATTAAAACAATTTATTATCTCACTATCATTCACAAGATAAAAGTGATAGCTTCAATATCACAGAGGATGTGGAAAGATGAGCAGAATGAGCGAGCAGTAAAGGTATTAAATTTTGGTTTGGTTTAAACATTTATTATTATTTGAGTAAAAGTTTGAAAATCGTATTAGGTTTTGACTCACACATGTCTTTTTTGATAACACTAATTTCAATATAGACAATGTCTGATGATATACTAGTTGTATATCAACTTTCCCTTCACATATTTTAATAACTGTTTACTTATTAATTTTTATTCCTTTTCCCTCTCAGTTAATCATTTTGCTAAGTCTGTGCCTATCCTTTCAGCCATGTATTTTACCATCATAGATAGATACTAAAAATGCAGGAGTTACACTTGAGTGCTGTAAAACCAATCTTCAAAGTATTCTACAATGGCTCTGACATTCTGACAGAGAAAAATTAGATGGCAGAAGGGCAGCTGTGAGATCCTGTGGTACAAGGTATAATTTCTAACATGTTCTTTTGTCAGCCAAAAATTCTCTCTTCAATAACAAATTTAAACCATGTCCCTTGCCTGTGTGCTATTTTTCTATTGCATCATCTGTATGAGACTCCAGTGACCCATAGGAAAGTTCCCAACACATCCTGACTTCCCCCAGGTGATGAAGTAAAGATGTAGTAAGAAAAACAAATAACTGAGACTTAAAAAAAAAAAAAAACCAAAAAGAAAAAGAAAAGCCTTCCTAACAAGTTCTTGGTTTTTGGCAGAAGCTGAAGTAGAAGATTAAATTACCCACATCACAAATGTTAATTTTAACACCCACCTGTCCTAGGGTGTCTGTAATTGTCCCTTTATTTTGAAAACAAACTTGTTTGATTTCAAAATTAGTAGTAATAGATGCCTATTTGTTTAGCACAATCTGGTTACCTTATAGTCTCCATTTTATTATTTCTTCCTGAACAAAGATGTATTTATGTATACAGTGGACTTCAAAAGAATAAAATCTGTCTTAGAGAAGGTGCAACCAAGATCCTTCTTAGCCACAAGGAGGGTAAAACCTTATCTCACATACTTTGGACATATTTTCAAAATTGTCAGTTCTTAGATAGAAACGCCATACAGGGAAAGATAGAGAGGGTCAGTGAAAACGAGAAAAAGATTGTCTAGCTTTCTGACATATAGCAAGTAATTGTGAAGACTATGGCGTGGAGAAGACACACCTTAGTCTCCATAAAGATTATAAGCTTGAAATTCTAATAAGATAGTTCTTTTTTGTCCTACAGTGTAGCACTTTTAGTTTTTTTCCATTTCTCTGTAAAACTCAGTTATTGTCATCTGTTCTGCACGTACACTGTAAAGGTATGGAAATAGGACATATGCCTGATGTACACCCTTCCCAATTTTGAATCATGCAGTGTTACCTTGCTCTCTCCTGATAACTGCCTCCTGATCCAAGTATAGGTTTTGCATAAACATGATCAAGCGTTCTGGGATTCCTATTCTTAATTATAGTTAGGCAGAGTTTGTTGTGGTCCACACAATCAAACTCATTTGTATAATCAATGAAACACAGATAGACATTCTTCTGGTACTCCCTGCTTTCAGCCAAGATCCATTTAACATTAGCTACAATATCCTTAGTACCATGACCTCTCCTAAATCAAAGTCTTCCCTTCTGGAAGTTCTTTGTTGATGTGCTGTTATAGTTGTTTTTGGATACTCTTCAGCAGAATCATGCTTGCATGTGATATTAATGATATTGTTTGATAATTTCTGCATTCTGTCAGATCGCCTTTCTTTTGAGTGGAAACAAATACAGATCTCTACCAGTCAGTTGGCCAGGTGAAGGATAGAAGGTCAAAGACTGCAGCCTTCAAAATGGATTGCAGCTCAATATCAACAAGACAAAGATTCTCATCACTGGGCCAATTGGAAGCTTCATGATAGATGATGAAGAGATTGAGATTGTTAACAGCTTTAGTTTGCTTGGCTCCACCATCAACGCTCTTGGCATGTGCAGCCAGGAAATTAAAAAAAAATTCATTGGGAAAGTCTGCTGTCAG